TTCCTAATCAGAACAACAAGATCATGTTTGCAAATACTGTCAAGTCTGACGGATTTTCAGTTGATTTTGTATTCAACAAAAGAACAACAAAAGATGCCACTTTAATAGCAAACATTGATTTAGAGCTTGAAGATTTTGGCTTGGAAGAGGTAAAGCAAGCCTGCCAGCCCATGTTTCTAGATCCTGGAAGAAAAAGCGTGTTCACTGCTGCAATTGGTTTAGATACAACCAACCATCAAATAAGACGCTGCTCAACAGCAGAGTATTACCACAGGACCGGATCAACAAAGTACATTAAAAAGCTAGAAAGGCTTAAGGCTCAAAAGGGCATAAAAACAATTGAGACCAATATGCCCTCTCCTAAAACATCACAATGCGCTGCTTACCTCCTCTATATTGAATACGTTCTTACCCATGTTGGTGTCTTATTCACATTTTATGATTACAAAATAGCAAAAGGTCGTTTTTACTTGTATCAAGGCAGACAAAGAGCGGCAGAAGAAATGGTAAACATGTTTGTACACGGAGGCGCCAAGTATAATAAGAAGAAAAGAAAGAAGAGAAATAGGAAGAAAAAAAGAAGCAAGAAGAGGCAAAAACAGACGGCAAATCCAAAAGAAAAAGAGAATCAAATTACCAAAAACAGGTATGTAATCAATTTTAGCTTTGACAATCAAATCTTATTAAATTGCTGTTTTAAAGAAGCCAAAAGTGGAAGCCCGCAAAGTTCCAAACGGAAAGAGAGAAAGTGCCCCTTGTAGTCTTTGGTGCGGGAATGTTTGGCAAAGACTCGATAAAGCTGAAGAGAAACAGGTGTGGCGCCAGTGGTGTTTTTCGGCGAGCGCTAAAAAGGAGACAGCTGGAGATCTCATCGCCGTTACAATTGATGAATACAAGACTTCCAAAGTTTGCAATGCGTGTAATAATGATTCCCTCACAAGTATGCCCGGCTTGAAAGGCTGTAGTGTTCAGGTCTGCAGTATCTGCAAGGCGCTATGGCAACGAGATATCAACGCGTGCAAAAATATGGTGTCCATTTCCCTTTCGATTTGGGATGGAAGAGGTCGACCTTTCCAGCATAGCAGAAATTAATTGTTTTTTAGTCGTCGTAATGAACACGATTTCCCTTTTGGGATAAAGATTATTACTAGTTGCTAGTAAATAAAGAACTAGACTAATCTCATGTAAAGCTTAGTCAAGAAGGATAAATACGATAAGCAGCTCTATTGTTTAAATACGATACTACTACTATAAAAGATACTCTCCCTTTTGCTGTAGATGATTTTAATGCTCTTGTTAGGTAGTAGTGCAATGCTTTTATCGCTAAAGACAAATGAAGCTTTTTCTGACATTAGCGAGTTGCATAAACAGAAACATAGTCTATTACTTTTGTTTTCATTTGCGCCACAATATAACGCCAAGCTGCATAAGGATGCATAACTACTTTAAGTATTATTTTGCTTTTTTGTCATGTTTTTATTTTTATACGACATATTAACAAGATATAAAGGTATGTTTGATGATTTCACATGTACATATATCATCTATGCTCTAAGTTCAAATGCGTCTAAAGCGCATTTGCATCCGCAACCCGTCATGCAATACATTTGCTGATTAGTAACAAACCAATCCTCCATGTGATACGTGTGTCCTCCGTGTCCACAATGAATACAGAAGTTGATCAGGCCTTTCACCATGACGTGACAGTAGCTGCATCTTACCACCTTACGAATCTTTCTGCATTGATGGCAATACTTGTCATGATTTGACACCTCAATGCCGCACGAATGACAAGATACTTGGACATACTGAGAAGCAAGTTCATAATCAGCTGGAAAAGGTTGGTGATGCAAAAACTTTAAGATCTCTGCTCGTAGTTCCAGTAGGTTCCAGCGGTAGAGCATATCAGCATAACCAAGACGTAGCACGTCTAACTGTGCCATACTCTTGTTATCCACCAGTGGGATCTGATTGAAGCTATCAAAAAATTTCTCGCCGTCAAACTGTTCCAAGTTTGAGTACTCTAACTTTAATTCTGTTGTGGCTGAAGAAGGAAGTAGTTTGCCCTCTTTATCCTGTAAAGGTGTTGCTGGTGCAGAAGAGGTAGATGAATAGTGCGATCCTAGGCTCTGAGATAAGGTGTGACGTGCGCCAGGCGCTGTGTTGCTTGGTATCTTTAGCTTTTTTGTATAGCTTGCCGTTGTCGTCGTTCGTGATTTACTCAGGCGTGTGCTTGACGTTCTTTTGGGCATAGCTATGTCGTTAGGGGTATCTGTTATCCTGTCTATAGTAGGCGATAGTCTTCTGTTTTCTGTTTCTAGCAGAAAGGAAAGGAAAGTGCTTGTTTTATTTCCGTACGACGAGCTAAATGGTGCTATATATATCTTTTCTGCCACTTCTGAATTCGGGCCTGAATTCGCACGAAACTCAAAAGGGCTCTTATGGTTTGCTTTCAGTGAGAAATAGTCCAGTTCGACAGCTTCGGGTGTTCTTTCTGAATACAATGAAGGCTAAATAAAATATGAGTATTTGGCAGTAAAGAAACCTGAATGAAATCTAAATACCTTGTGTGTAAGGATGGTCGCAGTGGATGGTTTACTCGCTGACAATTGGAAGATGCATGATAACATGGCAGCGGTTTGAATATCTCCAATTTGAATAAAGTGTTGTATACTAGAGCAAAAAATAAGTCTATGAAACCATAATATTTGCGTATTTCTTACAGATTATAAACCAGCTTTTGTCCAAATGGGTGCATTCCCCATTTCACTCGTTTCATGGTGGTTGATATTGCTGCTACTAGTGAATCCAAAGGTTCATGGTCATATTTTGCTCTAATTTCTGGCAGCTTCATCTCTTGTCCAGTATCATCATCAATAAATATTAACTTGTTCTTTTTATCATCTGGCAGTGACTGTGGGCCTTCTTGCATAAGACGTTCAGGCTCAGCTAGACCTTCAGGGACACAGTCTCGAAGAATTTCAACAGCAAGGTACCATATTTTATAAAGATCAAGTCGTCCATGCTTTTGACATATTTTAGCGTTGTGTATACATGATCCCACTGGGTCTTTAGAAGATAAACTAGACCAGAATGATTTTAGTCTCAATTTAAGTACATGTCGATCCATTCTCTTACATATATTCTTTAGCAAGCCAAGGACTGTATGGCATTTTATCTGAAAAGTCTACAATCATTACAGTATGGCTGATTCTATCCGCTTTGGATCCATGGTACAAAAGGCTATCGCTACTATCTAACGCACTGTTCATTGCCATGGACTATTTATGTTTAGTACCAACCTTGGCATATTTTTGTACAACTTACTCCTGTATTATAATGCATCAAACTGCTGCTGTTGACGGTGTTTAGATCATCATCCATATCATCTTGCTCGTCGTCATAAGTATATTCACCAAATGCTCCACCGTTACCTCCAACGAGTACAGTAGCATTCTTACCCTGTCGTGACATGGCAGCAATTTCTTTATATTCTTCAAACTGTTCGTACGTTCTTGGGTGTCGATAAAAGTCACTATATGTATTTTCAAAGTATTCACTATTGCTTCTGCCACTCTGATGTGACTGGTTGTCCTGCTGAAGGTTATTCTCATTCTTTGCGTTTGAGTTCCCGGAGCGGTTTGTATCTCTCACACGTAAGGTAGAAAAGAAACATATCAGTTGTCCTATATGTAATTTTGTGTGAGAACTCTAATGACCTATGCAAGTCGATCTATTTCCCCCATTTCTTACCACTGCCTGAGAACACACCACCACATAAACGTGGAAAGGGGACTTTTTCATCCGTACTTTGTTTCGTCGACATGTCTACCATAACGCCTCGTTCACTCGTCATACTCACTCGCTTACCAAATCTAAAATCATCACCCATCGCGTCCCATCCTTGTCCGAGCTCATCATCCGAGTCTCCAATGTCGATAGCTGCGCCCTTCCAGTGTCCAGGACTGGCATTGTTGTTATTTATGGCTGAATCTATAGAGTGATGATCGATACCATATTCGGACTCTTGAACGTTTTCACCAAGCAGATACCGTATACAAGGCTCTAGACACCACTTTTTCTGAGACGTGTAGTTTGATGCTAAAGCAATCAGGTCCTGAGTCATGTGAGCACGGTAATAAATAGATATCATGCTGTTTTTATGAATGTCAAACTCAGGAGGACTGTTATCGGGGTATTGGGGACTGAACCGGATGGTTATACGCAAGAGTGCATCGCCTGTATCGGACCATGGGCCATGTAGGGAAATAGTACACGTACGAGACGCCGCATTGATCTTTTCAGTCTTGACGCCTACAGGCAAGTACTTGTTTAAGACAGTCGACATCTCGTCCGCCACAGACTGATACGAATGCTCTGCTGCTGCATCACGTCGTATCTCTCCTGTGGGACCGACAGTCTTGACATTCTGCATCCACAAGAGTGGATTGATGGCCGAGTATTTCTGTTCTTTATAGTTTTGCTCTGCGGTCGAGTGCTGAGCAACCGAGCGAAAGGGTGTCATTGACGTCAGTCGTGTGGCAGCAGCGCCGGTTATCGACCTTGTTTTCATGTCTTTGCTTTCATCAGGTTCCTGACGAAAGGTTCGCGTGGATTTCTTGTCGCCGAACGCGATGGAGGGTGCAGACAACTTGGTCTTAATCCGGCTGGGCTCATGTCCAACGGATTTCATTACTTCGGGCGAGACAGGCCAAAGTCTCAAGTTTTGGTCCTTGGACCAAGTGACCAGTTGAAATTCACGATCATCGCCGTCTGGTCCGTTCATATCACCTTTCCATCGCCACACGAATTCTTTAACTGTGTCTTGGTGACCCTCAAATGCATGTACAGGGACCTCGGGTGAGGCTCTGTTGTATAATGTCAATTTTGAGTCGTTACCCTGAGGCATGATTAACACACCGTTGCCAAATGGTGTATTTCTCGCTCTCCAAATAGGTGTGTCGGTCACGATAGTTTCTTGTTCGGTGGTTGGATGATTAATGTCCCAGAACTAGGTAAAGGGTATGTTTATCAGTTGCCTTTTTATATCAAAAAATATCTTACCTTGACTAGTTTGTCAAGACTACAAGTAACAATATCGTGATCATTTTGTCGACTCCAATCAATACCATAAATCTTTTTTGAGTGAGCAGTAATGCTTGTCACTGGAAGAGCACCTTTCTATAATGAAAAATAAGGATACTTGGGTCATTTTGAGATCGTTTATACATACTCTGATATCCCAAATCTTGACGTCTTTGTCATGAGCAGAGGCAATGAGATATTCATTCTTTCTATTAAATTTGACCTGTGTTGCAGCAGCTTTGATCTGTATAAGTATCGGGCCGTTATCGCATTCTTACTTACCGTTCCATGGAGTAAATGAATGACTTGGTCGCATATGTCTATCCGCATCCTCTTCTTGATCTTTTAACGGTTCTCGTAGATCCCATAGGTGAACATAGGTATCTACCGAGCATGTAGCAAGAATGTCTGGGTGATGGAGGGACCAGTTGATATCGGAAATAGCTCTAACATGTGCATGAAATACGTGTTCAATCGCTCTTGTGCCTGTGTAGTTCAAGTTCCAAACCAGTAGCTTTTGATTAGACTACGAAAACATTTTAGAATATGTTCTTCTGTATCTTTTTCTTATTACGGTTGAAGCAATCCATGATTCTCGAGCCATATGCGGGCTCCATTGAACATCAGCTACTTCCCACTTGGACATGTGAGGAACAATTCTTGGAATGAGCCATGGATCTTCAAGATCAATAATGACTAAACCCTGTCGTCTTGTATATATGATTGTTATCAAAACAGCATCTCTTTATAACTATATATAAAAGTGTACCCTGCTAATACAACGTCTCTCGAAGCAGGACTTATACTCATTGACCCTACTGAGTGATGAAACTTGATTTCGAGTGCATCATAAAAGGTGTCTGCTGGTTTATCAGTTTCATTCAAATGAGAGAGTTGTCTTTTGAACGAAAATGGTTGCTGAGATAGTCTTTCTCTTTTGTTGCTATTAATGCTCTGTGTGAGCAGGTTGGAATCTGATTTTCTTCTTCTTAATTTATCTCGATTGAATTCATTTTCGACCAAATCAGGCATGGCTTTTTAACAATTAAAAGAAAAAAAGACGAGTGGTCCGTGCACTCTTTAATATTTATTTCGTCTTTTGGACGCGGTCATGAAATGCTTGTAGTTGTCTAATCATATCTTCAATCACCACGGGTCTTTGTGCAGGAAATATTTGCTCTATCAATGGCAGCCATTCAGAGTGGATGATGCCTGTTATTTTACATAAGGGTTCTATCCATTCCTTATCCAAGGGAATCAACACAGTAGATTCTTTGTTAGCATACTTGTCTACTGTGTTATCCATTACTAAATCTATCACTATGGCCAGTAATTTCCAGCTGGCAAAGAACGCTGTCATTGGGTTACCGTGTGAAGTTGATTTTGGATTGGCATGTTTAAAGATGGCATTGTTCAAGAAATCAATATAGACATGCGCCTCTTCTATGCCTTTGGCAGTGAGTCCTAATTGAGATGCCAGACCTTTACCATACATTTGTGGGAATATCTGAAGATGATATGCTGCTAATAAAGAATGAATCAGACCATATGTCCAATGATACTTTGGCACTTGTCTGTTCAACATGTCCATCAGCTGAGGTTCCAGCGAGCTCATTGTATTCTGATCCAGTCGTCGCCCGCCATACACTCGAGTGATAAATCCAATGACTGTTTGAACTACGTCTTGTTCATTGCTAAGGAACTCAATCTCTTTATCTTCATATTTGCGTTCACATTCAAAGCATTTCCATTGCCCAAGGCGAGAATAACAATCATGACCACAGGTAGGGCAATTCACAGATCGAGACCAATCCCAGTCAGAACATCGTTCACAAGCACATGTGAAGAATTTGAACTTTTCAAGTTTCGCTTGGCGATTCTCTGTTGATCCACATAGCAGTCCACCGACAGTTGTGTCATCCTCAGGCAGATAGCTGAATGAAAGCACTTCGCCTTCCTTGACAGGTCGAATGACTGTAAAGATCATCACGTTCTTTGCAGGCTCATATCGTAAGAACATATTGGGTGAACAAGAGTGAGCAAACTTGGACCCCCATCGGAGCAGGGCAATAGTAGGCATGGATGATACATCTCTGTCGTCGCTCCCCCAAGACGTACTCTCTCCAAATTTTGATTGATAGAATAGCCTACGTGCCTTTCTTTTTGAATGTGTAGGCTCATTTCGTAAAGATGGTATAGTGACCGTATGAGCATTAGCATAAATCTTTAAAACGAATCGGCAAAGATCTTGTGGATCAACATGGCTAAAGAGTGGTTCAGTATCTACTACGTTCTGTGTGACTGAGCGGATCAATTGGACAGTTGGATGATCAAGGTTAGGGTAATAAAAAAATTCAAAATCTTGTTTATTGTACTTTCGTTGGTTTTTGACAGGAAATGGAGGGTAGAGGTCGAGATAGGCCAAGATGGCTGCAGGTACACCTGGGCAAAAATCGGATTGTATTGTTTGATTGTCATTATTACTATCATCACTATAACTGCTGTTGGTACTGCTATTGCTATAGATGCTCTCTTTATCATCTTCATATCCTTCTTCAGATTGTACCATCCACATGATGTTGTTCCATAGCTTTTTAGAATAATAAGGTGAATTGGATGATCGACAGGATGGATTCAATCTGTACTTGATCAGTGGTTCCTCAACCAATACAGCATCTCCAGGAGCCAGTGGTTTCTTGGTTACCAAAGATCGTCCAACACCAGGACATTCTTTAATAATAACCGAATCTAGAAATTGTTCCTTGTTTGCAACAGTCGTTAAGCCAAGATCTTGTATAGTTGTCATAAAGAAAGGAGAGGAAACCTTGGAAATTTTTTTTTTCTCGCTGTTTTTCAAGGCGGTCATTTAATTCCTCTCTCTTCTCTTCTCTCTTTTCTTGCAAGATGCTCACACTTGGACTTGGACAGTTATTTTATGTCTTGTTATGTTTTATAAACGCGATTGCAGTATTAAGCGAAGACAGATTCCTAGCAAGAAGTAATATTTGAATAAAAGTATAAACATACAAAAACTAATGTTGACATAGTCGGATGGACAGTACAACCCGAAGCAGGATTTGGCAATGAACAAAGTCAAACTATCAAATATAAAATAGTCAACTTAATATCTGCAGTGAGAACATTAATGAGAAGTAAGTTTTTTTTTTTTTTTTTAAAAAAAAGGCCCTATGAATAATAATAACACTATCTATTCATAGTTCCATTAATTGGTATAAACATCATTGTTATAATTTATGAACTTTTACTTGGATAAAATAACATTAAATGGGCTTTTTATTGCTTTTAATCAGTTGATCCAAGGCCAATCAAACACCAAAATGAATAGCTCTTGATTTTATCATCTTCTAATCTTATATTAGACTTTTTACCCAAACTACTATTATCATCTGTATCATCCATAATATCATCTGCATCAATATCTCCAGAGGATACGTCCATACGATCCTCATCTGACTTGTAATTATATGTCACTAATAAGGGCAACTATATAACACGTTAGTAAGGTTGACATCATGTACATCCACTTGCCTTAAATTCCCCTTTTTCTTCAGGCACCACCTCGATAATGATGCTTGTATAATTATTTCTCTTTTCATAAACACCATCGATATTCATGAAATTATTATTTACACTCAAGTGATTATTATTGCGTCGAGGATACATTTCATCATCGTATTCCATCGTCTCATTATATGCTCCCACTGTAAAATGAGGAGACAGAATTGTCACTCTACCACTGGCATTCTCTTTTAGTAGTGGCGTTGCCAATGTGATGTGCATTTCTTCATACAAGGGATTAGTGAACTTGAGCAAGATCTGAGTGGGTACATTGACTTGCAGTGGCCAATTCTTTTTGGGTATTAAGGTGATATTGGGTATATAGTTCATAGCGACCAACTTTATCTTGAATCGTGTTGCCTGTGCTTTCTGCTCTGGTTTAATCAGGATGTGTCTACAGGTGCGGCATCGTTTAGATCGTTTGATGGCGAGATGAATACGTTGAGGGTGTATCTTTCTATTTTATGTATGTGAGCCAAAAGAGAGAGAGGGGGATAAATGTTATATTACCCTAATTCATATGGTTGATCATGAAGTTGAGTTGATCTCTGTGTTAAGGTTGATACTATAAGAGTATTATATAAATACATACGCATATAAAGACTCTCTCTCTCTATACCTTTATCTATATTTCTCAAAGTAATCATAGAGTCCAACAGCTTGAGATCATCATCTGGTATTTGTACACTAGGCTCATATCCGTCGATATCATCAATTTTGCCTCCTGATCCAGAAGAATCATTATGCATGTATTTATTAAATGCTGATGAACTCGTGAAAGATAAGAAACTGGTAGTCAAAGACGGTACTGAATTCACTCGGAGATGCTTTTCAAAGTGTTCCTTGAGTTGATCAAACTCTTTAGCGTCCGGTAAAGCCTCTTCGTTCTTTTGAAGTTGTACTAGAAATATGCGTTAAAAGAAATGTGGTGTTAATCTTTAATAACTTACGTGCTAAACTAGTTGGTTTTTCAAATGTCATGCCAATTTCTTGTGAAGTCCACCTACAGACATTACAAGCCAGGAAGTAAGGACCTGCTGGTGCTGTTACTGTTGTTGATGTCTGGTTAGGTTCTTGAGATGCAACAACAGAAAGAGTGTTTTGACAGATAGGACATTGAAAGCAGTTACGAGCACATCTAGATTGAGTTAATAACTAAAAGAGATAAAGTGTTGAAACACACACACACCTGTTTTTTTCACTCTTGACACTTGCAGTAGGGACCTAATCTAATATTAAAAAAACGCCTATTCTCCCTCTTTTTCTCTCTTTCTTTCTTTCTCTCTCCTAATATATACCTCAAAAAGACAGTTTGGACAATAATAAGATACTATTTCGTCTTGTACACAAGAGGGACAACGAATCTGATGACAATCTTCACAAAAATATAAACGAGAGAGTGGATAAAGATAGTTTTTGGCCTTTTTTGAAAGCAAATGTAAGCCAGTGACGGATTCTGTACTTTCGTCACTGTTTCCCTCCAAATTATCCTTGGTTGAACAAGAGCAGTAATAATCTACAAAGGGGATCATTTCAAGGGAAAAAGTAATAATAATGTAATAAAAAAAAAGGGAAAAAGACACTGAGTTTCATTTCAGGCACACATACAAAGCACGCACGCACGCCAGTAGAAATGATCGCTTTTATTTTTCCTAAAGAAATAAAAAAAATAACGGACATTCACCATTTTTAGGAAAAAGATAAAGAAAATACAAAAGAGAAAAGAATGATAAAGTATCTCTATTTGGGTCTAGAACGTAATGAGCTTGATTCACGCCATACCAGTTCATTATATAACAAAGTTCATATGAGCAATGGCCCTTTCATTTTCATTCTTTTGATACAAAGAAAAGAATCTCGATCAAGGGGGAGAAAAAAAAAACCAAAGGAGAACAAAAAGGAAGTAAGACAAAGAAATATATAAAAGAGAGATAAAGTGGGGGGTTGTATAATGCGTGTGTATAATGCGTGTGTGTGTGTGTGTGTGTGTGAATTTGCGAGGGAAACGTATAACAATGAAGGTGGTTTTGATTTTTCATTATTAGGAAAGGACTCCCTAAAAACAAACACACATACAAACTATAAATTAAATCCCTTTGTTTCCCTCTTTTTCATAATATCCATATTTCTTATCATGCCCACTGCTATCAGCTCATATTCACTGATTATCAAAAACGCAACCGTTATTTCATTTGAAAAATTTGACCAAAAGACATTATATATCGTTCATGTCGAATCACAACAAGGACACAAGTATACAATTGCTAAACGATATGAAGACTTTATCCAATTCTCTCAAAAGTTACAAGACCAATTCAGTAACGTTCGCGGTCTACCATCCAAAATCAAACATAAGCTACATTTACTTGTCAAAAATAAATATATTCATGCTCAACGCGCTGAAGAACTCAACCATTTCCTTGAAGCTCTCTTTTCCAAAACTACACTACCCATTATCACTCACTCAGTCATAGTCCGAGAATTCTTTTATTTCCAACAACCTCAGGAGGAGAGTCATAATGAAAATACCTTTAGTAGTCGTTGGAAAAGATTACGATCTACTTCCTTCTTATCTCGTTCAAATCATTCCAGTCCTCGTCCAGAACCTTCTTGCTCTACTCTCTTACCTCAAGTGAAAAGATCGGGTATGCGAAAGAGTCAGTCAACTGCCTGTTTGCTCATAAAGGACACAATCAAGATCAAGGTGATATACGATATGGATAATATCATTGTGATTCAAGTGCCTCGTTCTATTGCTCTCAACGAATTACGCTCACGAATTCTTCAGAAATTCTCTGATTCAGTGGGATCCAAGGCCGTCCAAGATGATATTCTCCTCTTATTTTATGACACAACCATCAGCAGTGCAAGTACATTCAGTTCAACCTCGATGGACCTGCTAGCAGCCACAGTAATTGCCAAAGAAAAAGATTTGATATCTTTAATGAAAACAAAATGGAATCATTTGGAAAAGATCACACTTCGTTGCATCATGTAGTATTATTATTTTGTTCATATGTAGATTATTTATACCATTTACCCCCCTCTTATCCCCCTTAAATAATAAAATATCACACACACAGAGTCAGAAGTTCACTCACTAATACATTCCAATGCCCTTTTTTTTTTAGTTATTGATTTTTAATCCTTTTATTTTTTGAAGTCTTTTTAGTGCTAATAGAAGCATCTTTCTTAAAGACAAGTATTCGAGGCATCACATTCTGTTTCTTTTCCATAGAAATGTTCATCTTGTTAAACTGATTTTGAATCATTTCTGCATAAATTTTCATCTTGAACGCGTCGTGAGTGTAAGCCTGTGTGCTCTTGAGTAACGCCAGGTTGATCTTTAATTGTTCTTCCGCAAACGGTCTTAATGCATGCAGTTGTTTGTATTGGTAGATGCGTTTAGATGTGTTATGGATGGCGAGAAACATGTGGTGATACGTGCTTTGGTCACACCCCTTTTGCTTCAGATGCTCCAGTGCCTGAAGCAATTCGAGATTGGTTGTCAGACAGTTGATCAAGATTGACTCGGGCGGAGGTTGTTGTGGTTGTTGTAAAAAGTGGTAGAGGACGACGAGACGCATCGAGTGGTAGCAGATGTGGAGATGTAGTCGGGAGGCTGGACTACTGCTGCTGTAAGTAGGAAGCTGATTGTACCATCGGATGAGATTATCTGTAATTTGGTAATAGTATTCTGAGGGTTCATGTGGATGTGTATTGTAGAGCTTGCCTGCCTGTATCGCACGGATGTATTTACGCATGTAATAGCCGATACAGGCAAAACCAAATTGTTGGTTATCATCGTCTTGGACTACTTGACTGATGGATAGCTGTTCGATTATCTTTAAGTCCAACCAGGGTAATCTGTCAGGTAGCAGGCAATCACGTCCCACTGTGAGACAGAGCCAAGCATCAATATAGTACCAACGAATCCAAAGACTCAATGTAACTGGATCTATTTGTGCTGAGTTCGTCCTGATCAAATGTTGTAAGGATATTGAAGCAAGTCCGCCCCAGGTACGCTGATGTTCGTAGAGTCGTAGGAGGTTGGAGGTATAACTTAAACAGAAATAAGATTGGATGATCTGTGGGTTCATACTGTCTTCAAGGATATCGTCCATTTTCGTTCTTGCCTGCTGATAGAACGCCATGGCAGCATGTCGATTAAAATCAGAATGGTATTGTCTGCTCAAGAAGCTGACAAGGCTGATCGAGGCTACGCAGTATACGATCGGCCATGGTGCTTGTCGCCAGTTCTTGATCGTCTCAAGCTTGATCGGCGCTATTTTAAAGCCAATACAACACCAATGCCGTGTGGCTTGATCCATGAGAACGTCGAGTAGGTGTGAACTTTCGACGTCTGTTCGAACAGATGAAGGTATGGTTGTGCTTGTAGCCTGAATCTTCATCTCTTCTTCTTCTGTTTGCTTAACCACATTTGATGTATTTGTATCTTCAGAATCTATGAGTGCCAGCTTTAGTTCTGAAAAAGTTGAAAATTCAATGACGATCCTATTTTCGATAAGGTTCATAGAGTCACCCTCAGCTGCTGGTGAGTTATAGACAGTGTCTATTGGTGATGGTCGTTCTATAAATTCGCATTGTCTGTTCTTTAGTTGCTCTGGTGTATAGTACCATGTGTTTTCGTTGGGTGACTTGGGTGATTGAATAAGGAAAATGTCACTATAGCTCATTTGCTTTTGTTTACAACTTTTGAAAATTTCAAGGGAAAAAATAAGAAATAAGAAAAAGAAAAAACCATGCCTTTATATTGCAATTCTTTTTTCTTTTATTGTTCTACTTTGCTTTTTCTCCTGGGATATAAAAAGAAAAAAAATAGAGAAATTGATAGAGAATATTACAAGTTCCTGCGTTTTAATGGCTCTTTTTTTATTTATTTACAATTGGTTGATCGATCAAAGCATTAATTACTCTCCTTACATCTCTTTTTCTATTAAGGCTCTATGTTTTATATAAAAAAAGAAAAGATGTTCAATAAAAGTTTCCTTTTTCAGTCAATGCTTTTTTATAATTTAGCATCTCGTTTAGCCAATGCCTTTTGGTTTGCGGTCGGAATAGCATTGTCTTCGGCAAGTATATCTGCAATCCTCAGTACGCGTGAGCTCACTAATATTACCAGAGTAAACAAGCTGTATATGTGTTTTTTTTGTGTTTGTTTTTTTACCTGTTGCATTATCTCTTCGATTCTTCCCTTCTCTTCTAAATGTACCAATCCTTTCTACCAGTTCCCAAAGGTGCCCTCTAGGCACCAAGGCCCCATTTTGGCGTGAAGGAACATAATCAGAGCTAATCGCAACTTCTGACCAAGGCTTGGGTTGCTGATGTCGTCTCTTTAATAAGATATGCATCTGCTCATATCGTGTAAACGCACTATTTAATGTTTCCTTGTTGACGGCTTCAAGGTAACTTAAATCTCCTTGATAGTATAAAGTTTTTCCCATCGCTTGTGTGCGTGCCGCAAATAGCTTTGAATCTACCCAGATGGGACCTGCCACGCTCTGTGGTGGTGTTAATGTGTACAAGCTGACGGCTGCTAGCCAATATGATTCAATAAAAGGCCAAATCATGAAGCACAAAAAGTCTATTACAAAGGAAGCATTAGAGTTAAAGTTCATGCGAGTGTATGTGCAGGTTGTTGCCATAAACACGTGTTTACCATAGTTTTCTCGGCCACACTGTCGTTCCAAGTCATTCAATCCTACCCATCCCTCTTTATCCATCTCGATCACATTATTATCTATCAACCATTGGATCGTACGCTTGGTATTACTTTCTACTCCACCAGGCTTATAAATCATGTCGAGTTTTAAGAGACTCGAAAGGAAAGATATCTCGTTGAGTAAATCAGGATACTGCATTCGTTGAAGTGGTTTCCCGCCTCCCTTTTTGATGACAGTGTAGAGAGCTGCACATACAATAGCTTCTTCTACAAACAAGTGAATCACCTGGTTACGATAGTAAGATAGCTCAAAGGGTGAAATAGGATAGAAGGTGGGTTCCACAATATCTTTTCCTTTTCTTTCACCGATCAATTCTTTATGAATCTGGATAGTTCTATAAGAGCTGCATTAATTATATTCCCACCCAAAAATTATTTTTTCTTTACCTGTCAACAATTGAACCTGTTGACATACCATAGAATTCAGACACATTGCCTCCTTTATCTTTAATGATCTGTCTTAGCCAGTCGACCCTTCGAATTAATTCGCTTCGACCCACACCCCTGCCACGTAGTGTCAAGATGACCGTGCCAACAAGCGCAGACGGCATGACAACAGAAATGGTATTCTATCACATGAAAAGAAAACAAGGAGTTAGACTAGTATCCCTTATTTGAAAGATAGCTTTTTAAAACTTACGATATCTGCAAGCACCCTATTAACATACATTAGAAAGAAATCACTCATTTTTGAATGGATGGTTTACCTGTAGCCAAGTGATTTCATCAGAATGGATTTTTGTACATTATCCGATAGATCCATTGGACTATAAAAAGAGGGAGCTTTCAATGAAAAAAGGTTATCTACTTTGCTATATATATCATCACTCACCCTCTCATCTTGAGCTGATCGTCTACCCAATCACGTAAAGAATATGGTTTTCCAACTCGTACTAAAATGACCTATAAGCTTACTTTATCCTCTCCCTTTGTTTTTCTTATTACCATCTACACGTCCCCACTTTAGCTGCAATAGTCTGCTGCTGGTGAGAACTTGCCACAGGTTTTCCTTTTCTTTAGGTGTGCCTAACAATTCTGTAGCGTAACTAGAAGTTTCTATAATCTTGTCATAACCAATTGAGATAGGGACGATGTAACAATCTGGTACACGATTGTCTATGATCGCGTCTAGAATGATCTTGACAACTCCTAATTTAGGCTGAAGCAACTTGCCTAAACGAGATCGAGTGCCCTCGACAAAGCATTCAAGATTCACTAAGGAAAGGAATGAGTCTCGAAATGGCCTGATCATCACTATCGTTTGTGACCTTACTTCCTTTGGAAAGTAATGTAACAATATACTCGTCTAGTATCGTCTTGTACAACTCATCATTTCCCCATTCTCTTCGGATGAAGACGGCTCCTACCGACTTGAGTAATTTTCCTAGAACGGGCATATCGAGATTCTCGCCGGCTATGATATGAGGAATCTGAATACCAAGACGGAACATGAGATAAGAGACAACAAGGTAATCAATGTGTGATTTATGACAAGGCAACAGAATGAGTGATTGTTTCTTTTCCTGTGCCACCAGTGCTACTCGTTTCAACTAGAAGAAGAATCATCAGAGAAAAAAGAAAAGGACCTCACATGTAAACTTACCTCAACCCATTCACTTTCACGTATAAGAAGCCCCTGATGATAAAGTCGAACAAGGATCGTGTTGACGACAAAGGCAAAGAATCTCAGTGTCCTCATGCTGTCGAGGGTACAAAGTGCCTTTTCGATAATAGCATTGGCCACCACTTCCAATTCCTTTCTAAATGCCCTTTTCTGCTTCTTAACTCTTGTAGCTGTCCATTTCTTTTGCTCGGTCATGATGGCTGTTTGGCGGTCTGCCAATCGGTCAATCACTTGTTGAACTGCATAAATTAAAAAAAATTAACAACGTCCTAGTCTAGAAAGCTTATCATCCCAAACCTTTTGGACTGTTAAACACCAAGGCTTTCATTTCCTTTGAGAAGCCTGGGTAAAGTATCTTGGGACCAATATAATCTTTATATCCACGCCAGCCCTTGAAAAAAAGAAAAGGAGTTAATGTTTACCACAGATGGAACTATTCACACTTTACTGCTCCTCGATAATAGAGTCCCACATTAAATAAAAATGCGAATGGATCTTCTCGTATACGACGAGGCTCGTTTTCACTGAAAAAAAAAAAAATAAGAGTCATTGCCCAGGTCATTCTTCTCACTTACACGACATTGCGATACTGATCTGGATCTCGCTCAACGTGAATCGTGACAGTCGTAGCATCGTCTTTGACTGCATATTCCTTCTTTTCAAACTCGTTCATCAACTTCTCTAACTGTTTTTCTGCTCTTTCAGCCATATTTGCTGTTTAAATAATAATAAGAAGAAATAGAGAGAAAAAGGAAAAAATGGGGTGGGGTAAAAAGAAAAATATAGAAATATATTACAAACAAATGTTTTTGTGTGGGAAGGGGTGTGCCACAGATCAATGTTGCACACACCCGCATATATCAAGGGAGAGCGAATGAAATAGTTTATAAAGAGCAGTAAAAAGATTGTTTTCAGTAGAATGTGCTCAATGGTTGCTTTTTTTGTTTGTTATTGGAATGCCGGTTGTAGAGTATATACGCTTTATTTAGAAATTATTGGCACAATAGAGGATTGATAACTCTAATGATCCTGATTACCAATCGTTATTTTATTGTTTTCAGCTTGACAACGCATAATAATGCATAAAATGAGCTTGATATTTTTGAGAGATATGAGATAAATGTGGTCAACACTTATGAATTACATGCAACTGAAAAAGTTGTTAAAAATTTAATATGAGTAGTCTAATCTTGACTTGCTTTTCTTCTTTGGACCAAAGTAAGACCAGCTATTTCCCAGTTAGCCCTGAGGTATGTTATATTCTTTACTCTTGTAAGAAACTGATGCGTAATACTATAGATCCAGTCTCTTGTTTTCCTCTTTGCTTTTCTGAGGCAGTTATCGCTGCCTTCATCCATGGTGCACTTTGAATAAGATATTAATAGTCTCTTTATAAGCTTACTATCTTATGACCTCTCCTCTTTTTAATGCAAGTGTTTAGTGTCAATTTAATAACTGATTTACTAATCATTTCTTTTACTTCTTGTGAACTCCCTTTTATCACTTTTCTATTAGCGTAGAATAACTATTGAATAAAGTATAGACACACACGCGTATTATTATTTTTTATTTCTATTATTTGTAAAGGATGTTTTCTTTTTCAGGATTTATTGAGGAATGTGTCTAAATTCTTGGCAAGTAGGAATTTTATTTTCTTTGTCACAGTAACAATGAACCCCGTTTTTTATGAATCAAACAGTGATGGATGCTGAGTAGGATTAGCACACATAAAGTGATAGACTAGACCAACAATACTTGATAACATCAATAATCGGAATAGTCTCCATAGATATTCTGATATAGTCAAGATGGTATCCAGGTTACTGTTATTGCTGTTGCTATGGTGATGGGGATGATGACTATTATTACTGTTGATGTATGTTTGTTTGTTATTATTATGTACAAGGTCAAATTGCTGTTCTGGCTCTTTTAACGTATTTAGATCATCTTCATAGCTACTTCGTCTTCTTTGTTGTATGAAATGATCTTCTGCTAGTTTTTCAATCACGTCTTGACTATGGATTTGTTCTAGTATAACATCAGCTACCATAGGTGCGCCTGTGTGTTCTAACAATGTCTCTAGTAATTCCTGTAGTAAACCCTTTTCTTCTTCTTCTCGCTTTGCTTGTTCCAAGGCTGCCTGAGCTAGTTCAATAAAGCGATCTTTCTGTAATCTTAGCTCATCGCCGCTTTCATCTGTTGTCCAGTTGTGTTTGTCGTCTACTGTAAAGCGGTGACATGCAACATCTTTTCTTAATGACGGAATATTATTTGCGTAAAACTTTGCTGTCATTGTACAGAGTATTAACTGATTTTACATGCAACAACGAAAAGAAAGAGAGAGAAAAAAAAAGAAAGAGAACTGAAATTTCCTTTTACTATTTAAATCCATTCAGCCAATCATGTCTCATTCCCCACAATCACCCTGTATCACATGGAGTGCGATCGGATGATATATTTTTCATATGGCAATGAACTATTACTGATAAACAGAGTTTACTCGTCTCGGGATGCTTTAGTCAACTGCATCCTTGACTTACCAGGTGACCATGAATAACAAGACTATATGCACCATTTTGCATTTAATTTGGGTTACACATTCTGTAAATGATCATCTGGAGTATGATTTTAAACTTTCTCTGTTTACCATCACTTTTAGAGAGAGAGAGAGAGAAACAAGTACAGGATTCGACGTGTATTTGGTTTATTAATTTGATACATTAACCTTGACCTGGTGAAAAAAGAGATTCGAATGAAATATTTGTGTGTACGATTGTTGGTGCTACAAACAAAATGATGTCCAATGATGAAGAAGAGATACAAGATGTAACCTATGGCTTTTGAGTCAGTTATGGTCACGATTTGATAAGAGAAAAAGAGAGACTCAAAATAGTAACCAACAAGAGGCATTTGTTCTTTCAAGTAATAAATGTATAAAAAGATATATCAAGTTGATTATATAATGTGTTTATGACAATCTACTTTTTTTACTACTTTACACAACAACTTTAATATACTCGACATCAAAATGGCAAGTGGCGTCAGCGTTTTTTTCTGGTTACTCAAATGTTTCTTTTAATCGTGTAAAGAGTCGCGTTTTGCAAAGTCATTTAGCAAGTGTATTCTTGAAACATGTTTCTTTGCAGATTTGGTTATGAAACCGATGGTTGCAAGGGTATTAATATAATATGTAGAAACAAATAATATTATGTAGCAAATAGGAGCTATTGAAAACAGTTATTACCTGAGCAATGTCTCAGGTAACGCTATTTTTGTCATTTGTTCTAGACTTACACAGATTGATGTATTATCTTTAATTAAAAGTAAAAGATTAATAGACAGGGTCTACTGAAGAATGCTAATGTTTAAAAGTAACATTTACTGAGTTTAATCTTTAAATGTAACAGGTTCAAGGTATCTTGATCCGGGAAAGGCAGTGTACAGCCGCGGCTAGTTATCACCATCGTCTTTTGAATGTCTTTTATAAGAAGGACAGCCAACGACGACACCAGGCGGCTGTAGAGATGGTAATGGAGGTAGTGGAGGTAAAGGCGGTAGAAGTGGAAGAAATATAATCCGTTTTCTAAAGAGAGTAAATAAGTATGTGATACACAATTCTTGTCATAACTTACGAGAGACATCCACAGCTGTCATCCAATTGAGACATTGACGCCACTTTTGATGCTAGAAATGAAATAAAACAAACTACAAGAGTAATATAGAATGAAGGTAACATTCGCTTTAAAAGAAAGAAATAAAGAAAAATCTTTTAAATTGCCTGCAAGCAGTTCAAAGAAAAGAATAGAAACTGATAAACAAGAGCTTTCTTTTCATAGAAACAAATTATCAAGTGCTACTACTAAGAAACTATACATCTATTGTTTTATTAATTTATCAGGTGATGCTACTTTTCCATAGACTCTCCAAATATCTTCAGGATTTGAAATGGTCTTTTGGAATACAATGTATTCTAATATGTTGTGAATCTTGTTAGGATCTCCGCCAACTAACTTGTTCTTCTTGTCATAGACTGCCATTGACTATGTACACGTTAATATCATGTAAATATATGCACAGTTGTATAGCTAACCTGTTTAGTAAACATTTTGACTGTGACTTGTCCAATAGCAAAACCATGTTTACTAAAGCCTGTTGGACTAATGCAACGAATACAAACAATCTTGGGTGCCTCTACTTCACCATGATATTTCCATTCCCAACGTACGTTACTGCGACCTTTTATTTGGTTTTTCAAGTTCTACTATTATATCAGCAATCGTGTATCTTTTCGGATAAATGTAGTGTTGTTCTACTTACGGAGAACATGGAATCCAAACAGACTTCTTCCAGTACTTCACGATCACCTCTATAATAATATAAGTACATTGCTCATACAGATTTTTTCATGGCCTTACCTTGCAAATGCATCATTCATATCTTTATAAGTTTCCAAAGCTTCAGCAAGGAATCTTGAAGAGTTCCAATTATCATACAAAGATTTACGTTTGATAAGACCAACGCTATATAATTGTATCAGATTGGATATGTCAACACTTCAATCTTTATACTTGCCTTAACAAGTTTTGTACACTGTTTTTCAAGTTTCTCCATTTCGTTAAACGCCAGTTTGCAAAGTCAGTAATTGAAGGTGAAGTTTCAGGAGGAATATAATTAGCTAATCAAAAAGTTATAATTTCCTTTTTCTTTTCGTTTCAATGCGCTTTAAAATACCAATAACACCGAGATCACGTATGGCTGTATGTATTTCGGTCTGTTTTGAAGAGTAGGCGCGAATGCCTAAAAAGGTGGTTTTAGGAACCTGAGAAAGAGCGATTCTGGGTGCAATAAAAGGCTGCTGTTGAAGCGATCTTGCCCACACATGAGGACGAATCAAGTTGGGTGTAAGCTTTAGGGATGCCATTGTACGTTCGGCAGGAAGGATAGTCCAATACCCCCCGGAAGCTTATATGGATCAAAAATTTGAATGACAGGTTGCAGTCACAATGCCTAATAAAGAAGATAATTAATCAGTTTGTTTTGTGCATAATGAATAAAGCTATTCAAGTGCATCACTTGCATCACATGTGTACAGTCTTTGTCCATTGTTGATTTTTGTGCATTAGCTATTATAATGAGCCAATATTTTACAACATGGTCTATACTTATGCCCTGAGCAATAGAGTAGAAAAAATAGGGGGGGGGGAAGGGCAAGACGCCAAAGACCCAATATGAGAATATACCTGCATTGCATCATTCTTATCTTGTTGTCCTTTTAGTAATAGTTTATTACTCTTTTGAGATTAGTGTTTCATACAAAGTAAGCCTTGAAACATTTATTGCTTTTCAGTTGTTTTACAATACAATGTACTCAATTGACTTTAGGATTTTATCACTTTTTCATTTCATGTATGCTTAATAATTATAAAAATAGAATAGGCTTTCTACTTGTGATACATATAATCCATATAGTGCAGATATCTTATGCTATAAAGAAGAAATAAATCTTGCGCTTATCTACGATGTGTCAATGAATTATGAAATAAAGAATAACGCAATCTTTATATGTTAAAGTCTTTGCAATAATGTTGTCAAGGGTAGAATAAGTGTAGTGGAGTCTAATCAGCAAACAAGAAGCTCATATACTATCTATCCCAATCTTTCTCATTAGTTTGACTTTGCAGAGAGTTAAACGTCTCAAAGTATCTTTGGCTTGTATTTCATTTGCATAGTGAAAATAGGGCACTAAAGAGAAGAAGAAGGAGAACCTCCTTTATAACCAAAAGTCATAAGTACTATTATTGATAAACAAGCCATTACATTATTATAAATATGAAAAAATAAAAATGACTATTGTTACTTTATACTCTCTTACAAGAAATGAAACTTTCAAACTTTGGATTCCTTTTGGGACTGTGCGCTATTAACTCTGAAATTTTGGCACAAACATTTGATAATGCTCAAGCTGACATGTTGAATTATCATTCTCAAATTGACCATCTTGCTCGTCGCAATTTTTATAACTGGAACCCCGGCTGGAGTGGTTGGAACGGCTGGGGAGGTTGGGGAGGCTGGGGAACGCCTCCTACACCTCCCACACCTCCCACACCTCCCACTCCTCCTTCATCAGTTTGGTATTAACCATTCATGTCGTATCCTATAGCAAATACTCTTTATATACATTTGAGTACAATCTCTATTTTTTCTCTTTTCTGCCATCAATAAATCATCTTATATTCTTGGTCTTTTCATATCGTTTTTTACTTTATCCCAAGAAATGCACATGCCATCTCTATAGAGAATTGATGACTTTTCTAGTAATTTGAATAAAAAGAAATGTAGATATAAGGCGTTCTTTAAGAATATGCATAAAACAATTTCAATTAGCCTTGAGCGTACAATCTGCTGCATGTTCAATTTTTTGATAAACTCGTTACCTGTATTTGAATCCCCTTTCACGAAAGGGCAAGGGCTCATAACTTGCATTTAGATGTATTTAAGAAACAAAGTTCATTGATTACATATTCATCAAGATACTCTCTCCGTTCACAGTGCCCTCGATCCTAATACGTATTATAAACTGTTGAAAGAGAAGCTCAAGTTGATTGGTTGATAAGCTGAATTCATTCTATTCATTTCCATAATTTATGGCAGTAGCTCATGATATTGCGACTTGGGGAAAGGGTTAAGAATAATTGTACTATTACAATACAATTCGCATTTTAGGTTTCATTACGTGCAATTTGGTGTCCGTGAGTATAATGATTCTTTTCAGGCACCTGTGCATAAATTCAAAATTATTAGAAAAGGTGAGCTTATCATCTATCATATGATACTGCCTGTCGTAATCCCATGACTCATTCTTGGAATGCATGGCAAAGGAATTGATTAAATCTCATAATTTCATTGTTTTATGCTTTTTATCAGCACTCAAAGATGCCAAATGATTATGTTGCAGAAGAGGAGTTTCCCTATTGGACGTATATGTAAACGTTTTTCTTTATTAAAATGGTAGGCAATCAATGCAACCATAAAGCTAAATGTAACAATTGAGAATACACACACAGATACGGAGAGAAAAGTGACTGCAGCATTAAAATAGTACGCGAAAAAGAGAGAAGAGATGATATAATGGTACAAATGTAAAGCAAAGGTTTCTCTTTAGCATGCGCAGCAATGCTCAGAGTCATCATCTTCATCATCTATATCTTGATCATCAAAGGCTGATATGTCCTCCGATGGTGAACGATCATATTCTGCTGATGAATGTGTATAATAGATGGAATCAATGGCGTAGAATTTGACAGTCTTGCTGTGAGACGATCGGTGACACATATGCCAATGTGGGTGTTTCTTGGATAAGCTTTGTATCTGACTAGAAATACGGCGAAGTGTACGAGAGATGGATAACATGTTATACAAAGGGCAAAACACAAAAAGAGATATACAAAAAAAAAAAGAAAGCCTGCTTTTATATCATAAAAGTAGAGACAAATTGGTCAAAATTCAATGCATTACCTCCTGTAGCTAACAAACAGGTCTTCCCCCTATTGTTTTTTTTTTATTCTTTTTGCCTTTTTTTGCCCTTTTTTGATGTTTCACCCATATTCTAGCACCTTATTTGTCTCTTTTATTTTGCCTTTATTGGACATTTCAAACAAAAGAGGTTTATACCTGTTTTTATTGCCGTAGCCTGAGCCAAACTGGTGCATTTTAGGATTGCATGAAAGTCGCGTGTGTTATTGTATACAAAGGTGCTTTAAGCATGTATTGTTCATTGGCTAAGGTATCTCGGTAAACTTATCCACTCAAAGTAAGCAGCATGATCAGGAAAGAACGGGAATAAGGAAAAGGGATGTCCAGATTTGAATGGAGAAAGCGCCTAATGTGACATCGTAATGGCGTAACCTTTCATTTTACCTACAGTACTTCTCCCTTTCAGCTCCATGTTACCATCATTTTCAATGCTCTTTATTATTGAATTATATTGGGTCCTTGTTTATTGCTCCTTGTTCATGTCTTCTCCTTTTTGTTGGTTATTCATACATTATTTTGTTAAAAATAGTAACAAAGAAGGCTATTTTTACCTTTGCTATTTTTTTTTTGAATCATGGCTTACTCTTGGTTCATTTTGTAGTCAAATGACGACATGCCGGCACTGTTTATAAGAAACACGGGATTATTAAACAGAAGGGGAGGAAATGAACAAGGAACTTCTATCCTACAAAACGAAAATTCAATAGCACCAACAGTAAGAATAAGAATACTGATTTAAGTTGTAAATATGAGACGATACCATGGAGCCAAGTAAATATCAGGTAGCATTTGTCAAGCAGTAAAAAAGAGGCACATGATTTACCGCAGTACTGTGGGTTACTAGACTATCCCAAGGAAGGAGAGGGGATGGGTGTATTTTCTATATCCCATTTACTGTTTCTGTCTCTGTCTATTTGTAAGCTCACATGACACATCATAGCTATTATTTACAGTCTTTTTACGCCACCAATAGCTAGGTAATTGTTATTACATAAAACTAGCACATTTTTTAATAGATTAGTAAAGACTAATTGAGACTAATTTGACGTGAGATCTTTTATCTGCACACCTTCCTACGATCGTTATAGTTAGCAGTAATTGAGATAATCATTTGATAGTAAAGAAGCACGATATGTTTATCCATTACTGTACCCTTTTCCTTTATTTAACCACTTCCGAGTCAATTTATTTAGCAAATATGTTTGGACTGTTTCAATCAAGCAATATATTTTTCTGTAATATGTATATAAGCTGTCAGATTTAGAAAGTTTAATCCTTTTAAACCTTACGAAAAGTCTTGTTTCGATTACTTTGTGATTATTATCAATGCCGTCTACAACATATGCAGTATGCTTACTAGTTATTTTTTCTTTCTGTTAAATTTGATTAACATTTTCTTATCTCTCTTCATATTTGACATGCTTATTTTTGTTAAATGCTCGTCGCACATCCCATAAGCTGTTGATCAAGCAACTGTCATATATATCTTTCTGTACCCTTTCCTCAAGCTTCATGTAATAAGAACATCTTTCCGCATCATCATGCTTCTGCTAATGGTCACATATACTCTTGGCCCAAAGTTCTTTTGATAAAAGCATCCTCTATGTAGTGCATCTGCATTCTTGTCAATGCACATTAGGCTTACTTCTGAATCAGCCACTCTAGAATGTTCTCTTATATTAAAGGTCTCTTATTTTTTATTGAAACCATTCTATATTGTTAGTTTCTATGGAATAGCATCGTGTAAGATGGCGGTTATTCGGTCGGAGCGACGGATTTAATTAATGCTTCAGTCGAATTGAGAGCAGCGCAGTGTGTTAAGCGGACTAGATTAGTTTCGTTATAAAAGCAAAATACAAAATCCCCTTTTCTATGAGCCTCGGGAGTAAAAAGGAAAATGGTGTGTGAAGAAAAACAATATGGTTACTGATGAGTAATTATGAAAGAACAAGAGTCAGTATCAGGTTCCTTGGAAGTTAGAGAGTGTGTCATCGTGTCAATAAGATGTAAATGACCCTTTGGGTTCAATAGAGCAAGACGAAAAAAGGAGTCTAAATCATCTTTTGTTATCCTGTTATGGACTGTGGAGGAAACGGGCTACTGCGCACCTAATAGGTGCGGCATCAGAAGTTTGATATGGCTGTTAAGTAATCTCATAGGATGAGATTAACCATTTCGGTCTTTCCCAACAATAACTTTAAGCAATTACTAAATATCAGTCAACTGTTATGTTGCCCTTCAGACAATACATCTTTGTGACTATTAACCAAGATGACCCATTATTTAGCATTTTTAAAAAGAATAGTCTTTTATTCCTTTGTATACTTTGCAATGTAAATGGTATATGGTTTATTTTAGAAAGGATGAAGAATCAAGAACAATTGGGTTCTGGAAGGAATCATAGCCTTTTGCAGCCACTGACATCAGTGATCTCCTTGGGACAAGTGACTTCTCTGTAAGTAAGTGTAGGATTATCAGCGCCTTTAAACCAACCAAAGCGCCACTGACAACCCTTTTGAAGTTGAGCAGGCAATTGCTTACACATGTCAGCGTTCCAGACACCGCCGTATCTAACACCCCAGCCATCTTCAGGAGCATTCCATTGAGGCTTGCAGCCATTGAATTGGCCTACACCACCGCCGGGCATAAGCAAATCAAAGTGAGTGCCTGTTTCGGTTCCGGGATCATTACCAGTGTTGGTAATTTGAACAACCATTTTCTTTCCTTTAGCAGCAGTAGATGTGAAAGTAAATTCAAAGCAAGAACAGCACCAGCGGTCTTCACCGCCACCAGGAATACTAGCAGCAACGAAACCATAAGAGAGATTATCGTTAACAACCCAAGGCTGATTATTGTTACAGACATAAGCATCTAAACAGAAAGAGAAATGAGAATAAAATGCAAACTGAGTAATGAATATATACCTCCACCAGCACAACCACTTTGAACGTTGTCACCAATAAGAGTAACGCCGTTTTTGGCACATGACCGAACAGGAGAAGAGACCTTGGCTTTACCATTCCAGCTACAAGAAGGCTTACAGCAGTCCCAGTAACGTGTAGCTTGTGCAGAACCTGAGGCACCACCAGTAACATAGCTGTACCCTGCAGATACTACTTCAATACCAAATGATGCAGCTACTACAAAAGAAGTGGCAATAGTCGAAACTTTCATGAGAAAAACTTGGGGAGGGGTTGTTTTAGCATAAAACTCCAGTTTATATATATATATATATATATATGTTTTTTTTTTTTTTTTTTTTCAGTTAATTGCGTGCGACCTAGTCTCATATAAAGTATATTAAACTTGCGCTACCTAAAGCATGATTGTTGTTTTCGAAATTTTACTTTGTCTTTTTGGGTCAAGTCAAGTTAGCGTTGCTGAGAAATTATTGTCGGCTATATGATGTAAGAGCTTTATTTCTTTCTTCTACTCTTTAACTAAACAATATAATAATAAGCACACTTTTTTATAAACATGAACACAATGAAGAGAGAGAGAGAGCTTTCTATTCGATGGAAGATGTGCTGGCCGATACCGGTGGTCCAAGCGTAGTACTCGAAACCATGGTGAGCTAAAAGTCCTACTTGAGTCTCAAACTAGCAGAGAAGAAAACTACAGCAAAAAATACGACAAAAGCGCTGTACAAGTGGCCAAATCAATAAACAACAGCGTGTACAAAGACTACAATGACTAAGCCAGAGAGGGTCCTATGGAAAGAGGAAAAGTGACTTTGCATGCAAATGACCTTCGAATAAACCCTCATGCTGTTATGCGTTGGTGAAAATACTACCAAGAAACTGGGAAGGTAGCTTACAAAAGATCTCAAAGAAATCCCGGCTACCTTAACTCATTTACTTCTGAGCATGAGTAACACATTCAACAAATAGTATTCTCTGTGTATAATAATCTTACAGTGTGGATGTAAAACTTATTTATTGACTTTCGTCTTCTTCTTTGCTACAAGCTTCGTTTCAAAAGAAAGGTGCATGTGCTCTTTCCTCACTATCTTCTCTTCTCTCTTTCTCTTTTGATTTACTTCGTCTACAAACTTTCCAAGCTCAGACTGTATGGGATACGTTAGTGTACTGTTGCTAAAATTAGTTTGTTTGCAATCAATACCTTTACAAAGCAAAGGGCCGTAGCAATTGTAGGCAAGAGTAAAGGCTGGTAAATTTCTTCGAAAAAGCGAGAAACGTTCGAATGCCATAGGCATGTAAATTCCATCGGCAAGAAGCTTCACTTGGAAAAGCGCACCTCTGAAGCCTATCAAAGTATTTGTATTAGATAGCATGCTCTTTTTTTGGTACAGGACACCCAAAACCAGAGTATACTCATTAGCTTCGTATAATTGCCTTCATGCTGATAATTTCTGGTTGTTTCCGGCCTTTTTACTTCAGCAAAAAAAGAAGTAAACTTCTTTGCTTTTGACCTTTGTACCAATCATAAAATTTGGCTTCTTTCCATTTTTTCTGGCTTATCCATCCTATCCATGAGTATGATATACGGCAGTTAGTATAGTAAACAAAAATAATAAGGTATACACTCACATGGCATAAAGAAAACCTTCGCTTGCATATTTCAACAATACTGTTTGGATAGCTGATATCAAGTGCTTTTCAGTAAATGTAGCTTCGAAGCTATCCGCAATAGAAGCGTGGTACTGTTTCTTATGTCTAACAAGGTCTCTGACCATACTCATTATGGGTTCTCCTCCTTCTTTATCACTATCATCATCAGTATTATAGCTATCACTACTATCTCCCTCCTATTTGCAAATATTGTTAAAAAAAGCTATTTGCTTGAAATGGTTCAACTTATATCAGCTTTATTTTTGCAGTATACGACTGCCTTGGTAGATGCACGGTTGTTTTTTTTTTTTTTTTGGCTTTGTACCGCTAGCTACTGACTTCAAAGCTTGACGGGTATTGTTGTCGAAGTATCTGGTAACATATTTTCCAACATCAAACCTGTTGAGAGGGAAAATGTGCGAAAGAGAGCTAGGCCGAAAAAATTTGGTCCAGTTGAAGTTAGTGTTTGAAGAGAAAGATGGAAAGTAACTCTTTGAATGCCTACAGGATTCTCAAGCAGTTTATATCATTGCTTTTTTTTCGACTTCGGCGATGGACTGCTTTCTAAATCTCCTGAGCACTTCAGTGACATTGACGTTCTCGACAAGAACTTAAACACAATAGTTGGTCGTTCTTCAGCTATAGGTATCCACACGCCCATTTACCTCCTCCTTCGTGTGACATTATCGAAGAATGGTTGTTTTACCTCGGAAATTAGAAATACAGCAAGACGGAATAAGGTTCTTGGTAGTCATTTGTAAGCAGAGTAAAAAAAAAGGATCCATGGCAAAAAGGGGAATTGATTTTTATATGCAAGAATAAATGTTGTCAATCAATTACATCCAGTGAGGTGTATTAATATGACGTGTCATCAAATACTATACCTTAACAATGTCATGAATCAGCGTTGTTGGCTTGATATGAAGTATTATCTAGTCGCACTGTAGATGCTTTGTTAGTCTTGTTAGTTTGTTCCACAAATCACTTTATCTGAAATAAATCTACCAACTCAGTAGCTTCTGCTTTTCAGAGGTACAAACCGGGGATTTTCTTTAATAAATGCATTATAAGCTCTTTTTTATTTCCGAGTGATAAGTTGTAGGTATAAATGCATTGCCCATGACACATCCTATAGTGGCAGTTTCCTTTGTATAGTTTTTCAATCTGACGAAACAAGGTGTAAAAATGAAAAGGAGTGAGAAGGAAGAGGAGGGCATGAAAACGCCGAGGAATAGTAGAACGCTTCATGTGATGGATGGTATAAAACCCGTTGTACATGTTTCATACCTTGTACTGGGGAAATCTTTATTACCTCAGTTGATTGTATAATGAATGACGCCAGACATCTTTGCATTCAGCTTCATGATGTGTAAAGTCCCCAAGATAGTTAATGACTGATAAAGTACATTTTTTATTAAGAAGAGTTGAATATTTAAAGTGAGGTTTGAGTGAAAATTAATGTTGTTACTGATTTAACTTTCTCTGATCTCTAAGGTACAGCTGATTCTGATTTGCTCCTTGTCAGTTTTCCCACTAAGCTACCAGGTTAATAATATGGTCGTGATATTCACAGTCCGTGTGACATGCATAGCAATCTGTCACAATTTGACAGTGGTGCCTGTCTGCAATATTGTTTGTAATTCATCGGGGTTGCGTTTAAGGAAATGTATCGAATGAATCATATCTATAGAATAAAGATTGTCGCTCATTATGGCACACATAATCTCATGACTACCTGATAGACTTTTATTATTTATTTTTTATATATTTGTTTATTAAAAAAGTAGAATAGAGAGAAGGAGGAGGTGTATATGTGAGTGAGTGAGTGAAAGAGGGCAGGTGCATATTTATAAATGTGAGTATATAGAGTATATTTATAAAATATATTTAACAAAGTTAGAATAAAGCGAAAAAAAAGAGAACGTATTAAAGAAAGATCTAACGAGGTACATCAACATTTCTCATCTCTTCTGGAGATATAGGAACGAAATTATGAACGTCAATGCCATTTGCTAATAGTTCAGGTTCTGCATGAGGTGGGACTAGCTTTGAAATCAAATCAGGTTGTATCGATAATTCTATAAAGAGTTAATGTCATCTCTCTTTTCTCTTCTATATTAACTTCTTACCGTGACGAGTGAAGTTGAATAATTCTGGCAAGTCCTTTCCATTCAACATCTTTTTATTAGGCTCTCGAAGCTCATCAAAAAATGGATCAGCTAATGACTGGAATGCTGTAAGACGTTTCAGAGGTTCGTACTGTAGGGTCTTGGTGATAAAGGCTATTGCATCATCAGGTGTGCGTGGACGGAATACCTTAGAGAAAGGATGAGGTTTGATTTGAGGGAAGCGATGTTCTGTATAAGATGGGTTCATGGCTAATAGCTGTTCTTTGGTAGGTGTCCCTAATACTTTAATAATCTCCACCAGTTGATCAATAGCACTCTCTCCCGGAAATAAAGGTTGACATAACATCAATTCTGCCATTACGCAGCCTGCAGACCATACGTCAATACTGCATGTGTAATTCGTGGCACCAAAGATAAGTTCGGGTGCTCTGTAATAACGGGAGCAGATATAAGATACATTAGGTTCTCCTGCATGAAGCGCCTTTGCACTAATGTAAGGGTCTTCAGTATACAACATATCTTCTTTTTTCTGTCATTCTCCCTCTCTCTCTCTTTTCATTACCTTCCAAAATCACACAACTTGAGCACACCAGAGTTTGGATCGATCAGTAGATTTTGAGGCTTAATATCACGATGACATATACCAAGTGAGTGAATATAAGCAAGAGCGCGCATCAACTGGTATGTGTAAAGCTTCACATAAAACATAGGTACAGGCTGTCTTGCTTTTGCATAGTTACGAGAGGTTCGGTACAAAGTTTCTGGTATATATTCGAGTACCAAATTCAAGTAGAGATCATCTTTCTGTTAAACACCGTGTCAATTACCTCATTCCAAACTCACAAGTCATTTACCTTCACTTCATCGTAGCTATAAAAGAAAGCTTTTAAAGCAACCACATTAGGATGCCAAACACAACGCATAATTTGCAATTCTCGGTTCTAATGAATTAGATTACTATCAAACACACGTATATATTTATATATATTTTAAATGACTTACTTTGAAACGTCTATCCTGGAATACTTTCTTGATAGCAACACTTTCACCTGTTTCTACTACCTTGGCTTGATACACCACACCAAAGGAGCCATTACCGGCTACTTTATAGGTTGTATACTTAAATGTGATGTCTTGACCTGTTCTACCATCTTTTGCTGCTTCTTCATGAACCGTGGTACGATCATTGTTACCACCTAAAGAATAAAAAGATAAACTACGCCTATTTATATCTATGTTTAATGTGCTTACCTGTTATTTTCATTCCAAACATTGGACCATGTGCCATTTTTGAAAATAACTAGGACAAAAAGTTAATTCCCTTGTAATGATGATTAAAACGCATAAAGCCTTATTACTCTTTTTGCTTAAAATAATAACGGATAGAAGGGAAAATAATACACAACTTGTATGAAAAAGGAGGAGTAACAGTAGTTGTAAAAGAGAAAAAAGAAAAAGAAAGAGAGAAAAAAAAGGGATGATGTTCATTTTTTGGTAGTTTTGTTTAATCAGCAGATGGATTCGGTCATTAAATATATATTTTTTATTGAGTTTGTTATGTTCCTTGATCAACCATTTGTACAATTAAATGCATCAATAACCCAAACAGTAACATATCAAGAATAGCATAAACGGTCTCATGAGTTTCTGTTATTTTTAGTATCAATCACTCTTCTTGATATCTGTGTGTTGTATCTTTTTATATAGAAAACACCGTTCGAACCTTGATCATCAAACTCTAATCTCTCTTTCTCTTTCTTTCTTTTTCTTTTTCTATCTTAATGGCACGGCTGATGATAATGAGTAGTGATCAGTCTGCATGAATAAAAAAGATGGAGTTTTAATTGATTAAGTTTTACTTTCAGTGGTTTGAGTGTCAATAAAAATAATGAGTTTATCTGAAGCACAGACCAATAGATTAACCTGAAGAAACTAAATTGATAGAACGAGAGATATCAGTTAGAGACACCAAGGTCACCTGTCTGTTATATACCTGACCGAGATATGGGGAGTAATGCCACTTGGTAGATACCAGCTGTCCTTAGTCCTTTCATCAATCACCCCCTTGTTGTTGTTTCCATGCATAGACAAAGTCAAGTCTGTTCATGATCGAGTTCACTGCAGCATCTGTATACATATATAAAGTGTGAAGGGCCAAAAAAAATTAAAGTTTCTCATTTTACCGAACGGCATATATCTCGCAAAAAGCTTGCTTATTTAATTTAAGACTGTCAATTACTTGTACTATTCTACCTCTCTCAGCAATAGAAACAGCCATCAGTATTACTTTAATAGTTATTTAATATCAAAATCAACATTGCTTTTACATACTTGAATCTTGGCATCGAAAAAGATCAATGACCCGGTCTTTGTGTTCACGGATACCTCATCGTTTATGAATACAGTAACTGCGTAGTTATTAAAGAACAAAGAGAGAGGGCGAAGGCAAGCATACGCCTTTTGGCAAAATGATTTCACACAAAAAACAAGTTGTCTCACTCTTTGAAAAATGACGTCGCATGGCCAAGTGTTTTTTACTTGGTCGACGTTCACTCTAGAAACAGTACAAAAGATGTAGTTTAGGTTCTAAGTTGGAGCCAAGAACAGTACAGGTACAAATCTTAGTTCAAGACTATTGGTCGGCCCACAAATAGCTGAACATGAAGAAAAATTAGCAGAAACATCCTATTCAACATGTTCCCTATGTCGAGATTTACTTCTTTTTTTGTATTAAAGTTGTACAATTCGAACAAATAAAGAAAAGAATGGTTACAGCCAAGATCACAAAGCTCAAAGTGTAATTTGGTATATCCGTCATTGTTTGAGTTGAGCTTGAGTTTGAGCTGCTTCCTACACAAGGCTATAAAAGTACAAAGTAAAAGAGATATAGAGCTGTCGTGGCATGTCTTGAAAGAAGAAATATAGATATGTGTCGATGAGCTAACAAATTTTATATGCAAGCAGGAATAATTATGACCAATAAGATGGATATGCCGCGTTGTATATTTTGTGGTCAGCCTCATTGTATTGTTCATTCTCATACTATCAAGTGTTTATAGGGTAAATTCCGTATTTCTACTTTTATGTTAAAGAAAATTATATATCCTTTGATGTAATATAATCAATATCTATTTCTTACACAAACAAAGATATTATTACTAAGCCTACAACACTGATTCATGGCATTTATAGTCTGTAGTATTTGATGGCGCGTCATATGACATAATGATCAATTTCTTTTTTTTTTTCATGAATCTCTTTCTTTTCTCTGTTCATAAAAAGACCTATTTCATCTTGCCGTATTCTTATGCTATCAAGGTAGGCTATTTATTCGACAATAACACGAAAACCCAGTTCGCACAATGGTCTAAAACCAAAGTCAACTACACGCAAGAAATCTCTTTTTGATTCCAAGTTCATGAATTAACTATAATCCATTCACGTATAAAAAGCACCTTTCATCCGCTCTTGAATCAAACAACGAAGATAGTGAAGATGCACTGCTGAGTAAAGTAAATAATAACCTCTTTTAATATCATCTCTAATACCTATAATTTAGGAAGTGATTCACAACTGACGCAATTTGTGAATACTATTATTTGCCACGTTGATATTGGCAAATAATGAGAATTATCAACGCGGCAATACCCAGGGCAGTATACGTGTATATTTCTATGTGAATTTAAAAATATTAATATCATTAAATTTGTATAGATATGATCAACGTCATATCTTCTTCCGAACAAAAGATATGTTTAGCTGTAATAGATCATAGCGGGCTATGCACCAATCGTACAAAAGTTCTTCAATTGGTCAGGTGAGTAATTTTTTTAAAGATGGTGGATGAGTACTGATTACTTTTGTAGTGTAAACACTTGCATTAAAAAGTAGTCGTAGTTTGCTTTCCTTTTGTTTGCGACGTTATTGAATATGATCGTAGACAAATTCTTGATGACATCAATATACTTTTGCCGTTTTCTTGCCGAGAGTCTTCACATCAAAGATCAAAAGAATACAATATTCATTATAGCACTAGTATGTATGTACATTTATGGTCCTTCATATGCTGCTCAGAGACATTCAGAAAGAAATGAAAGTACGGACCACGAGATTATAAGAAACCTTTCAGTTATCCTTGCCCAGTACAATCCCTTTACACGCATTTACCGTCATACGTATGAGATATTGAGCAACCATGAGAGTACTAGCATCAACAGCGAGGATAGATCTAGCAACAATGGCCCTACCGAAAGCGGATTATCAAATTCTCTGCCTAACCTAAGGCTGTCCAGTTCACTTCCTCTGATACAAAATGTAAATGCATCATAATTACACGTGCTCTTGCATGTTTGTTAATCAAACTGACAGCATAAAATTAGAATAAACAAATTTCTTTTTTATCTCTTTATCTTCTTGAAAAGAACACAAACCAAGATGATCGAAAAGCTTTGTTGGACAGCATCACAGATAATGTGTAGCGGCAACGTTGACTACATTGAATTTAATACCAGAATCGATCAATTGAAAATTGAAATACTATAAGAGATTTTTTTTCTTTTAACAACAAATAAAAATATAAGAATCACCAGCCCTCTGACTGCCTGTGATAAAACAAGCGGTCAGAATAGGGCGTTAAGACATTCTACCTATTTCTTAACCTGGTTTGACACTCAAACAAGCCCATAAAAAAATAGCCCGCGAGTAACACGCAAGTTGTAGGGTAATCGCCGCACAGAGATTACCCGGTCCAAAGAACCCTCGATTGGCTCGTCTTTTGCTCAGACTACTCTTCTCCGATTGTAAATATCAACTTGTGGTTCAAATCAAATTTTTTCATTGTTTTTTTGGCGGGAAACTAAAGTCAACACATTCAATGACCGAGAATAAAGGCTAAAAAGATATTATTATTGAGGAAGAGCTATAGTGACAGAGAGAGGGAGTATTTTATTAGAGGTATATACTTATTGACATTCATCCAAGAAGGGGCGGAAAAGAAAATCTAAATGGCCCAGCTTGTGATAACGTCTAATTCATCATCGTCAATAAAGGGTTGATCAACAGACTTGATCATCGTTTCGCCACATAAAATACATTCACTTGCCACAACGTCATCCAATTCTTCACGCAATTGATCAATTTTGCCCATAACCAAGTCATGCTCTTGTTTATTTTCTGCTATGGCTGCATCTGTCGAGAATATCACGTTTTTCGCAGTGTTCATCAATTTTGCTGTAGGACCCACGGGTGATTGACTGACCGGATTGGTTTCTTTAGCCATGTAGTCTTGAATTGCTTTCAAACGCTTGATATGTCTCGCAGGTAGAATTTTATACATCTATACAAGATTAGGTATCATTCACCCAATGATTTATCCAACGTATACCTTGTCTGTTAGACAGTCAGCGTGAAAACCGTGCTGGCAGGGAAATATGTAGAACTCACGATTGAATAAAGGAGAATTGCAGAGATAACACCTTTCTACTGGATTAACAAGGGCAAATCTGTTTACAAATAAGTATGCTATACAACCATACATGTTCATCTTACCTGCTTCTAAGCTCTCGGATATCCAAACGAATACTATCGCCTGTTTTAGTCGCCTCTTCCATTTCTGCCTTGATATCATCGATCGTGTCATTGTATTTTTCTAACGCTTCACATATTTCTTGCTATATAAAAACAGTTAATATGCTAAACAGAACAATACACAAGTCTACCTTGAAATCATCAATTAGCACAAAATCAGGAAAGAAAGGAAGGATGTCTTCAATCTTTAACAAGTTGCTTTGCTTTAAAAATTCAAGAGCTCCTTTTGTATCTTTGTTCTCTTGAATAACATGCTTAGCAATGTTTAACCAGAGCTTTTTACGCAACATCTCGTCATCATCCGGCTTATCGGCATTAATTCGTGCAAGCTCCAGGTCATTGTTCTATAAAATTATCTTTAATATCATTCAGGCCAAAGAAGGACCGAAACTTACCTTGAGAGCCAAGTTGACAGCTTCTTCATATAAACCCATTTGACTATAAATATGTACACAGCTTTGAGTCCTACCATTTTGTGTACATAGTCTTAACGCATAATCCAAGTCATAATGCATTTCAAATCCCTAAGAATAAAAAATGTCAGTCTTATAAATAGGTATGCTTTGTATTTACCTCATTTTTCAAAAAGGCTAATAAGGCTGTCTCATCTGATGTCTTTTGGGTAGCATAAAGAGTGAGCAAGAAGTTATGAATGGCTGGATCAGTGTTATTCAAAGTAGTAACAACATGCGATAAATATCGAGTTGCTTGATTCTAATGTTTTTCATTTAGTAAATAAAAACCACCCCTCCTTTTGATATCCCTTACCTGTGCATATTTTTCAGATACTTTCTTATGATCATATCTTAACAAGGCTGGTATCAGTTGCCTTGGATTCAGATTGTTTTGTCGCATCCACACATTCACAGTTTCATATGGCTCGTTTTCCATCAAGACTGGTGAAAATTTATAAAACACATCTGGATCAGCCTATAAAGTACAAAGTCATTTTACATATCATCTTTCGTCATATATGCCTTTTATACCTCCTTACTCAAGACCTCCAAGGCCTTTGTCCAGTTCTTTTCAGTAATCCAATAACTGATGACTTTTTCATAGTCGCCAATAAGAGATGCGAAAAACAAGTATTCATTCGTACGGTTTTGACTGGCCATCAAGTGGTACGTAGTGGGTCTGTGTAGGTATCCATTATACATCTCTAAAAAGTTTTTAAATTCGTCCCGTATCTCTTCTAACTGATCAAGAAAGTATTCTGCACTCGGTTCAGGGTTGCTCGTATCATTGGATGGTGGTGCACAATGAGCTGATGAGGCAAAGTCTTCAAGATCATTCAATTTAGACAAATAGAGATCGACTAGCCATGTAGCAATCATTGTCTTTTGTGTTTGGTCCTACAAAGCAAATGCTTAATAAAGGTAAACTCTGTATACGTTACGACATACACTTTTACGTAGCCTGGTTAGCTTGTTCATCAGGTATACTCGTAAAGCATCCACTTCATCTTTTTCAACAAACATGAGAGCGACTTCTTCAAAGGGCACCGTGCTATTTGCAAATGTCTCAGCACTCATCTTGTATCGCCTCTGCCCAAAATAATCCCTCGCTTGAGCCGTAAATACTTTATCTTTTTGTGCTGGGTCTTTACAGTATCGCAGGGCAGAATTGTATTTCTTTTTCTCCAAGTATAGTTTCCACACGTCTCTTTCTTCGTTATTGATAGTGAGTTCGTACATGGCCAGTGTCGTATAGATCCAAAAGGTCTTTTTAATATCATCGACTGTCATACCCACAACACGCTCTCCGTGTGCCTACATGATATAAGTTTAATTGAACCCATTCATTTCATCACTAAACTTACAACAGGTATCATCTCCTCATACACGATCTGATCGTTCAACTGACAAATGGCTCTAACTCGATCCTTGTAGAGTAATATAAAATGGAATTCGGTCAATGCCACCGAGATTGGAATGTCGATAACAGGCTTCCTAAAGTCATCATCAGAGGGTGTAGCTGGATACCTAAGCAATTGTATTTAAACCAATCCTTATTTTTCCTGATTTCACAACTTACTGAAGCAACTGTACATCATCTATGACGCTATCACCTTTGTTTTGTGATCCAAACACGAGGGACCCATGATAGATACCTGGTCCTGTCAACCAAGCAAATGTCTCTGCGATTCCTTGTTGCTGCAATTCATGATATCGACTGAAAAAATGAAGCTCACTATGCGGTAGATCACCAGGCAATTCCTGAAACCCGGGATTGACATCGTACTTTGCAAACAGGTTTTCAAATATAGCGCGTTCTCCACGATCTTCAATAATATCGCTATTACCGCTCAAGGGCAATCCATTACTGCTACTGCTGCTGCTACTCGTATTGGGGCCGACAAACCCAATAAACTGATATATTCTGGTAGACGTCGTTGCCATCACAAAGTATTTTCTATTGTTCACTGGAAACTGTTCAAAATAGAGACCGGTGATGGGCATCGTCGATTCATGGATCGAATAGACTTGCTTAAAGTACTTTTCTTCCTTTTTAAAGTATTCGTCTGTTGGCTCTATGCATGTCTCGTAGATCAATCCGTTTTTGGTTCCAATCAGTATCTCTCGGGTCGAAGGGTCTGTTAGGGTTGCTTGTTTGTTCCATGCAATCGACGTGATGGTGACACCCTAGATTCTGTTACTACTTTCCTCTCTCTCCTTTTGTACGTTTCATATCGTCTTACCTTAAACTTAGGCAATGGTTTTGTCCTACGCCACTTTTCATAGAAGTAATAGTTTTCTCCATGATCGGTTGTGATAATAAGGTGTCTTCCTGTTGGATCGAAGAATATCTTGGCTATTTTCCCATCACTTTGTTTACGTGTAATTTCAATTTCTAGTCATATTTAGTTCAATAGCTTCTTATATACATTATTAGTATTACCTTCTACTTCAAGTGGATTATCCAAATCAACTCTTAACAAGCGAGACGACTCAAGTGCGACAATAAGAATATTGTTTGAAACTGCCATGTCAATGAGTTTTGCAGGCATTTGAAACTGAACATAGTCTAAAGCGAATATCGGTTCCTCTATTTGGCCAAAGCCTGTTGATACGTATCCTGTTTCAAGCTGTAGCTTAGAGTGTTAAGGTGTATGGACCAAGTATTTAAAAGGTTACATTACTCTGACGCTTTCGATTCCATCAAAGCCATTAGGTAGCAAGAAGGCATCAGCACCAAACTGTAAAGTCGGTGTGCCATGAACGGCTTCTGAGGATTCCATATAGTCATCCAAGAGAGACATTGTTTATATGAAAGAAAGAAAAAAAAAGAGAGAAAAAAAAAGAATACAAAAATAGGCACAGTTGGTCATTGCTAAGAAAGGAAAGTATTGGGTGATACATGGGCATTACTTTAAGCAGCAAATTAAAAGGCGTCATTTTCAAAAGAATACACCGTTTATTATTGTCTTTAATCAGTACCAAAATACCTATATATAAATATAGGTTATGATACATGTGTATTCAATAATTATATAGATCATACCTGCATCCAAAATCACCACAGCCAGGGACAATGTATTTATCAGGATTAAGGCCTTCATCCAATTCTCCAATGACAATTTTCACCTTAGGGTATTTAGCAATAAAATTATCGATACCTTCAGGTGAACCGATCAAGTTCAAAAAGATGATGCGCTCTTCCTTTACATTGTTATCTAATAGCACTTGTACTGCCTGCATTGCTGATCCACCCGTCGCTTAATAAAGATATCCATTGTTAGTCAAGGCTGCATCATTGTTAACTTTATATTTTTACCCAGCATTGGATCTAATAAGAGAACATAACGAGAAGCAATATCCTTAGGAAGTTTTGAGTAGTATAACTGGAATAATCTAAGTAATGCATATAACAAGTTGATTTGTAAGCATTTCCTTACCTTTGGTTGGTGTGTTTCTTCATCACGTTGAATCAAGATCTTACCAATTCTAACACTTCTACAACATTCTCTCAAACCTTGTTCCATTGCTTCACCAGCTCGCATGATGGACACGCCACAGATACGTCCTTCAAATGCAATGCCCTTATATTCATTTCCAGTGGGAGTTTTAACTGCTTTGTCGACCACAGGTAAATGGTTCAATCCTATTTATATCATTAATATCAAATCACGGTTATCCAAAATTTTCTCTTTTAATAACCTTCTTCGACAAGAAGACGAATAATACGATCAGCATAGAAAATGAAATCAGCTCGAGGGGTATTCTTGTCACGAATAATAGTCATTAGCCCCTTGAGTTGTGAGGTTTGTGGAAGAAGCTTCACTTGCTCAGGTAATTTGTAATTCTGCAACTTGTTTGCCATTTTTTAAAAAAAACAGTTTTTCGTGAAGGAGAAGAGAGGAGGGGGGATGGGACTCAAATGACCCGATTTTATATATTTTTAGTGATTCAATTACCGCTTCAGTGGCGTTTTACGGGTAAAATGTCACCTTGGAAACAGATCATTCCAACGTAAGACAAAAGAGAATAGAGATAATATCTTTACTTTTCAAGTAATAAACTGAATCATGTACCAGAGATGCTATATATTGCATGCTCAGTTGAGATTTACTTTTTGTTTTTCTCTTTACAAGGTGCTTATTCAATGTAGAGAAAATGCACCTGTGTTCAGCGAGTCCCCATAAACTACAGTCACACCAATCAATGTTCAAAAGTCCCAGTCTTGGGCACGCTTGAACATAGAGTGTTGCTTTAAAATGCTTGTCAAGGACCTTGCTCAAGATCAGCGAAATTTACTTAGAGTAAAAGAACTTAAATTATATTATTATTTTGAACTAAGCCTGATTAAAACAGGACTTACAAAAAGATATTAGCTCGCTGTATGAGACTCTTTCTGAAGAATATGTAACACACTGGAAAGAAGAATGTCAAAGGGAGACATCTAAGGAATGCCCTAAAGTTGTTCAACACGTATAGTAAAGCCCACTTTTTTGTTGAAGTATTTAAATAATTGCTTATACTTTTAAAAAAAAATAGGTAAAAGAATCATTAAAGGCTTTAAATATTCTTGATAAATGTCAAATTATCCCTGTGGAGCATGATTATTATGACTGGGAGCTTCAACAAAGAGCGTAAGATGGATAAAGGGGTCTATGAAGCATCACATGATTTACATCTTTATAGGTTTAGAGTCAATGCACCATCCAAAGAGCACATGTGTAAAAGTGTTATTATTGAGAACACTCGCTGTACACATCAAGACATATCAGGTAAAATAAGAGAAGAAATGAAAATATCCAACAACTCTTTTTCTTTTATAGACCCTTTGTACTCTAGATATTACTCTGTTATTACCCAAGTAAGTTTCTCTCTTGATTCAAAATGATTGATTGGGTGATAACAAAGAAGTCTAGTATGTTTCTCCTGTCAACACACAAAAGTTGTTAAATTACTGTCGTAACTTGAAGAATAAGGAAATCAGTAAAAAGTATTACAACTTCCGTCTTGCTGACCCGGAGGTAAAAAATCTTTAGTCTTATGAGATTATACAATCCCAATAATACAATCCTAGGTGTCACTCAAGCTTACTGGCTTCGAAAAGGGTGGAGTGTCTCCTTATGGAATGAAGCAGCCTATTCCTATTATCCTTGCTGAATCCATTACAAAGCTCAAGGTAAAAAATATAGAATATACACAGAAATAGACACTTATATGACGCATAGCCACCTGTTATCTATCTCGGCGCTGGTCATATCGATTGGAAGCTAGCTATCCCTATTGATACATTCATAGAAACAACTGGTTGCTTTATTGCTGATTTGGATTAAAATAAAAGGCAAAGAATATATCTTTGAAATTTGTTATCTTCACAGATACTCTCTTGCCATAAATGTTCGGAATTTCAGAACGGAAAGGAAAGGAGTGTGCTTATAGGCATTTATGGAAACAATAGCACATAAAACCCAGCCATCATACCAAAAGCTCTTCTTTTTTGTCTTTGTTCCCATATGAGAGATAAACAAACGCCCTGCTTTGGTATGGAATCACACATCATTCTTGCATTTATTAATACAACAATAGAATGTAGAAGAAAGCGTCGTAAATGCGTTCGAGTTGTTCCTGGCCAGTCTTGTTTACGCTGTCAAAAGATGGATAAAGTGTGTCCATGCAAAGAGGATAATGTGATAGAACCAGACAACGAGCTGAACTATCTAAAACAACAAGTGAGCGAACTAAATCAAGCAATTCAGAAAATGGAGCATGAATTAAAGACATTGGGAACAAAATCTCCATTGTACATCAAGAACAATGCAATGACCTTACCACGATCTGCAATCGACAACCTGCTCTATAATTGGAAAGTCAAAATTAATAATGGTTGTTTTACTATTGAGACAGGCATTAAAAGCATCGGCGACTTACTATCGCAGCAGCCGTCTCTTAGGTATCTGTCTCCCCTGGGGAACTACGCCACCAGGTTACCAGACGGCAGCAGCGCTTTGATACATTTTAAGTTACAAGACCACGGAGGTCTGTTTTCTCTAGCAGGGAAGATTATACCTAAACTGTCTACGAAAAAGAGATCCGATGAGCACAAGTTATTACTAGGCCACGTCATGTTCAGTTCGCGTAGATTAATCGATAAGCTTGTTGACATTTATTTCAATTGCCATAACATCTACTTTGGCTGGTTGTATGAACCATCATTCAGGAAACGATACAGTCAGTTGAAGGAGCCTCTAGATGACTTGATCTGTGCTTCTTTATGCTGTTATGTTTGCGCAACGCCCTGCGATCATCTCGACTTTAATGCCTATCAGCGAAGGGATATGTGCGACTACTTTTATCTAAAGGCTAAAGAGAAGTTGCTCGATCAGTTTGACGATCCTGATAAACGGTTAGAAAATGTGATTGCGATCAATATGCTATTTTCGTATATGCATATGACATTGAAGTTAATAGAATATGACGCTTATATGACTATAGCTACTCAAATATGTTACGACCTTCAGTCCGAGTACGAAGCAGCCAAGGCTCAAACTGGTATAGACTATGCTCTCTTTGCTCGTCACTTTACACAGATGTTTTGTGTTCGCTTGACGCTCGACTGCATTGCAAATAAACCACGTTCTCGTATGCCCAGCCCTATGCCAAAGATGGATACATTTCCATGTGAACCTAAAGAAACAGGAGAGTATCTGCAAGTGCTTAAGTGGTTGAATGAAGTGTACTCAAATCCAGTTATGGATAAACTAGAAGTATGTCGTGTTTACGTATGATATTTGGTTTTTAATGTAATACTTTATAGGAACAAGTTCACCTTGTATTCCTTGGAAGCACTTGTACTCTAAGCTTTGATACAATATTCAAACTGGATCAGTTCTTGACCGATTTTCGAAAAACGATTCCCAAGGAGCTTCAATTATGTGATGATTTTTTCAATGAAGCAAAGTGTAGACAGGCTTTAGATCAGTCAAAAGACTCTGTTGCCATTTTTGCCTTTTTACATTTTATATTGCTTATAGATACAATATACGTAATGATATTACAACCAGTCCCTACAAATGACGAAAATGATATACTACTACAGCAAATTCAGCAGATTGCCCTTGAAAGGTCATCACAGATGTCACGTCTGATGCTTTATGGGATGAGAAGATTATGTCAACTCAAGAGCACATCACGCTGTAAGTCTATTCCGTCGTATATGTGAAACAAGTGATTTTTAAGCATAAATATAGGTCAAGTGGTCATGATATCTGCAATGATTATACTCTATTTAATTGATCTCTTAGTTCTACAGTGTTCCTCAACTGTTGAAGCCGTCGTTATTGAAGGCCAGCAGAGGCTTCAAGAGTGTCTTGTCGTAATCAACACTATTCGTGGAGTTCGACGCGAAGATACCCTTCCTCAGTTGTTGGATGTGAAAAGGGATATTAGAGATTTTATTCATAGTAGGAAGGTGGATATTGACTATTATGACCGCTTTCCAGATCCTTGGTGTGCATTATTACACGATATATCCCACTGTTTTTTGTAGAAGAGTCCTAGCGTAGAATGTTACTCTCTCCCTCTCTTTTTTATGTATATAGTTCTTGATGTAATATAAACTAGAGGAACTATAAAAGGTTTCTTTTTTTTTACATATAGTTTATCCTTATTTCATCTTGTTTCTTCTTTACCTAACAGTCTTGTCAAACCCAGTTACAATCAAATATGGGATATGTATACTTTTCGAATCAATTGTCTTGTTATTGTAGTTGATTTATTGCAATTCAAACGAATGCTTACCAACCAAACATCCATCTTGATGCGTGTATCAATTGGCTTCAAGGGCATAGAGTTGCTATTTTTTCTAAGAGAATACAAGTCAAATTTATGAAAAATATAAATATACAAAAGGAGAGTCAGAGAAAAGTCTATAGTTAATTTAAGATGTTGAAGAAAGATAGGCAAATTGAGAATTACTAAAATCAAGTTGATCGTAGCTAGATGACAGTCTTACCGTTTTAATACATGACAACCATAAATATCCCTCATTTTATGTTCAATAAACAATATAGAATTATACATGTTGGGATATCATGACAGCTTTTATCACTGAGTTATTTATTTCGAATAAAAAGGATATCTGATTCAGTTAGAGTGCTTGTAGTTTGCAACTTTACCCCTTTTATTATAGATGCTCCCGCACATTTGATAATTTCATTTTCTTGCCCATTTTTTTAGTATACGGCCACTGAACTCCTAAATACATCGGAAGTTGGACACAGCTAGGAGTAAAAAAGCCAACAAGAGGATCGTAATAATCTTTGTAAAGTCAGAAGAAAGAATCAGGAAAGAAATATTAGATTTAGGAGTATTTATACTTGTTAAATTAAGATGATCAAGGTCGATTGTATCAAGATCAATAAATAAACGGCGAGTTTAATAACTAGATGATTTACGCCAGATGATCCTCAACATCTTACAGAGGATGAAACAGAAAATACTTTCAATTTTTCAAAATCCCTTCTTAATATCAGCTGATCCAGCATGTCCTTTAAGACCTTTGGTAATTTGACAGATCCTGTCATTACTAAGTCAACCAATGAGGAGTGAAAATAATAGATCTACTTAAAATAATTCATGCAGCCAAGGAATTTTTTTAACTCAGGAACGCTTTCAGAGCCACAGTGTAAACAAACCAAAAACTGTAAAAGGAGACTCTCATTCCAACCTTTTTTTCCCCTCTTTACTCGAACTCTATAGTTGGCCCAATTCCGAGATTGAAGGGATGTTACTAGAACATCTTCAGATGTTGAAGTGCCGGGTAGCTGGTCTTTCCCGCTTCAGAGGGAGAGCAAGGATTCTTATTTTTCTTCTCTAAGCAATATGCTTTTTTATATTATTAAAATTAATATAAATGAAAAAAAGAAAACATAAATCCTTACTTTGTAATACCTGTTTAATTACAGTTCGACATCAATAACAAAAGGTCAATAACATAAACTGACCAATCACAATAATAAGTGAAACTATCACTTTTAAAGCCTTCATCTTTTTTCCCTTCTGAATAAAAAGAAACATAGAGAGTCCCATTATAATTTCTGTCCATTACCAATAATACAATCACGAATACAACAGCTATCATAAAAGAAATACATCCTTTCAGTAAGACATCCAAGCTTCCATTCGTAAAAATTTGTTGTCCAAAAGCTGTAAGTGCATAGTTTCTCCTTCTACTTTACGACATTAAGATAAAAGGTTGTAGGTGTAACGTTTACTGCAGTGAGTTGCTGATCAACGCAATAAATAATGAAGATTGGCATAGGATAATCGCATATGAAGATCTTTTTGACTACATTTTTGCAGTAGAATCCGACTACAATACTAAAAGGTATTTTTATACATGTTTGCTCGTATGCTTATCTTATTCGTATCTTTCATCAGGCCTCTGTTGCTGGTCTTCCTGACGCTTCATCATCAAAGTCAGAGTCATTTTTGCCAAACTGGGAAAGTAAAGAAAGAGAGAACAGAATAATGTCAAACATTGAAACAGCCATTAAATCATTGAATCATGCTTATGATACTAAGAAACAAAATAAACTTTACATTTATCTTTCTAAAACTCGCTATCAAATGTGGTTTGAGAAGGATTTTCATAACTAGCCACAATTTCATTGATTGTCCAGAATACCAAAAAAAGAAAAGACTTTTAATAGGCAAATCTACAAAGGCTATAAATCATTGTGGCACTTTGTATTATATTGGCAATTATAGACCTAGTATTTCGAATCCTTAGTTGATATTTCTAGTTCTGAAAACCTGCAAGACAGAACAGGATACTAAACAAGAAAAAAAAAAAGCATACTGTCTCCTATTGGGTGCTTTGAAGCAGAAGCGCTTACTGACAAGTATAGTTATGTCTTTACCAAATGACTTTACTGTGGATACAATGAAGGCAACGCCCTTAGTTTTTTTGTATTTTGTATTAGATTAATCTATTATATGCAAATGACTCACTATTCCATGCTAGGCGTTCAATTGACAATTAATGCTACTCCAGTTGGTATTGTTTATATCGCTTTGGTCGCTCCCACATTTATCGCCCCTCCGCTTGCTTGGTACAGGATTTTAGTCTTAATTGGTACGGCTTGTAAATAAATTCGAGACGCTATTTTTTTTTTGGGACAATTTGAAAATAGAAACAGGGACGGGTTACTTTTTTTTGGGATTAAATGCAATAAGTTTTTAGACGATTTATATTTTTTTTGGTACTAAATCTTTTAGAAATCAACATGGATTACATTAGCTATATACCTCCAGGCGGCTACTACATTATTGAAGAACAAATGGAAGATGTAGCTTATCAATATGGCGACATCGAAAAGATAATTGACTTCGATTCAGTTACTGAAATCCCTAAAGTGGACACAAGCAGATACTCTGACATCTCTCCTTCCTGCAGCTTGTCAATCAGTTATTGTTCAGGATTGTCAAGGTTGAGTTAAGCATGCTGAGATGTTCTGGGATAGGTGCATTGACAAAGAATTAGGCTTAAGGTAAATGTTATCCCTATGTATCATTTTTCTTTACGTAGTTCGTCCAAAATAAAAAAACATTTTGTCCTAAAAGTTTATTTCATTTGTTTTCTGGCACTATCCGCCTTTTTTTCTGTTGTCGTTAATTTTTTCGCGTGTATATCGGTGTCGGTGCCATCATTTGTTAATTTTTTGGGCTATCGATGTCGGTGTCGGTGTCGGTGTCGGTGTCGGTGTCGGTGTCATCATTCGTTAATTTTTTTGGGTGTAGATGACCATAATTTCTTGTGGTGTCTGCTAAGAAGAAACCTATTTCTTTTTGTACATAATGTTGATTGAAGCTGGTGGTAAACTTATAACTGCATTTGAGAAAAAAAAAGATATAACAATAAGTCGAAAGTAGACAAGAATATGGATACTCCTAATCTACCATTCAAATGGAAGTCAAGTACAGATCTTATAGCTCAGCTTCTACTGAATGATCAAGAAATAATAAATCTGATCGTTCGAGTTTTGGTTGGTATGATACATCATAGCCTTCTCATAAAACTTGCTGCTCTTATATAGCACGTGACCTTACTTATTGGTACATACGTTCCTGTAGTATCCACGCTACTATTCAGTACTTAAATACAATATCTAGAGTTGAACCTAATGCTGCTATAAGATCTGTTACACCTTAATCAAATATAGCCAACTCAGTTTAAATACCTCAGCTTCTTAATATATAATTATAGATTGTGCTATCATCTCTTTTCTTTTCACTTTATTCTGAATAAAGATACAACACAGTCTCATCGTATTTTCTACTTTGTTTAAACCTATCCAAATCCAAATACAACAGTTCCAAAAAACAGCTATGTAGTGCATCAGAATGGATGGCCAGAGACTGAAAGTTTTTTTAAAGTATACACCTCACAGAATGAAAGTGATGAACGTTTCAAACCAATAGTTGTAACTATTCAAAGTGAAATTAATCAAGTATTAATGCTGAAAATTATACAATACTGTACATTTGTTTACGAAAGA